GAAAATTTTATAAAAAAAAAAAAAAAAAAAAAAAAAAAAAGAATGAAAAAATTTGATAAATTATTGAATTATTATTAGCCAGTCTTTAAAAATTATACACAAAATACTGCCTGCCTTCTTAAATGTCAGGAGGATTAATAGATCATAATATTGTTGCATTCGATTATTGGATTAATGGTTACGGATACGATTAATGTCATTTAATGATAAATATAAACGGCATCTCTTCACTTTTTAATAGAGCGTTTCTATCCTCAAACGAGGATGCAAATGCCATTCGTCGATGGCGCGACGACAGAAGAGGCAGAGCGGGACAGAAAAAGTAGGACGATTTCCATGGCCTACCTATGACTATGACTGTTGGATTTCTCCTTAAGCGTATTTTTCTCGGGTGGAGGAGGCGGCGCCGCGGCCCCTCCCGCATTATGCTGCTGAAGGGGGGAAGGCACTGGCGACGAATACTTGCTCGAGCTAGAGAGCGCCCCGGCCTCATCCTCCTCGTCCATGGGCGACAGCTGCGAGTGCTGTTGCTGGTGATACTTCGAGCCTCGCTTACGATTGATCCCGTGATTAGTCCTCTCGCTGTTGCTCCGACTCCGCTTGCCCTTCAGGACCTTGCGTTTTATCCCTGGAAAGGCGATTCGACAACCGTTGTATTCCTTAGTTGATTCATAATTTCGTTTTACGAATGGATTTGGGGAATGAGCTCTGTTTGTTCGATGCTTTTACTTAATTGTTTATAAAATGCGGATAAAAAAGAGAAAAAAAATGCGTAAGGGTATAAATATTTATAAAAATAGGAATTGTATCGGCATGTTGGAATTTAAATATTGTTCTTATATGGCAATTTTCGATGAGTCAAATGTGCGAGAATAGAAAATATATAATATTTTATAGAAAAATTGTAAGTTAACGTGATACGAGCAAATATGATTCATAAGTATCGATAAATGGATGAATTATAAAAATAACCAAGGCGCTGTATTATTGATAATTGAAATATTCAGAAATAAATGTTTTCGTGACTTTACTATAACAGAGCTGTTTTTAACGTTCTTATAATTAATATTTTTATGTGCATTATATTTCATGTATTTGAATTTGAATTCTCAAATATAATTCAATGCAAAAAAAAAATTAAATAAATTTCTATTATGATATTTCATTTGCGTGTCTCAAAAATAAGATATACTGTGTAGTTAGTCAAATCAGTTTACGACCATTAAATCATTGTACGATATAAATTTTTTTTTTCTTTTTTATATAAACCTAAAAACTTTAATTTAAAAAAGACCCGAAATTTTCTATGGATTAATAATTTCTAATGCTTCCTAATAACATTATAAGATTGTAAGAGTATCTAAAAAATTATATGATTTTTCTTGTAATAAATCATAGTGAATGTACACTACATGCAAATAGGTCGAGCAAATGTTTTTTTAATACATTTATGTATAATAACTGTATATAAGTATTTCTCGTTCTTTTTCAAATAAATATTTATTAGTGCTGAAGTATAAAATAATTACTAACTTGCACTTAATAAGGTAGTCTGAGATTTTTTTAATCTTGTTGGATATTTGGTACGATGCTCGGACATTTTTTTATTTCTCCTTTCATTTCCTTCTTTATCTTTCAGCTTCGACATACGCAAACCACCTCTTAGCATTTTCTGTTGCCACTCCGTCGATCGCAGAATTGAATCCATGTGAAGAGTGTGAGTTATTTCTATTCAAACAAAAAACGAAAATTATTATTATTATAATTATTATTATTAATTAATTAATTAATTAATTGTCATTTTTTTATGGATGAAAATATTAATGAAAATGTATAATCGGTATATTTCTAAGGGGGTGTTTTTATATTTAAACAGTAACATTGATAGGAAAATTATATTAATTATAATTACTATTATATTAATTCGAACGTGAATGTTCGTTTGAGAACTCTCATTGTAAATATTACAATAATAATAGTAATAATAATATGACGTTGTTTCATAAACTGTTAATTAATAAATTTAATCAAATTAATTAAATAATGTTCATCTGCCATGTAATCGGATTTAGAAAACAAATTTTTTAAATCTTTCAAGAGCAAAATTTATTTAAGATTAAAAATAGTCATTATCGAATTAATATAATTTATATACAATTACTATAAAATAAAAACTACGTTAATGTATTAGAAACAGGAGAAAATTGAAGTAAGAGTAATGTTAGTACTAAAATGTAAACATTCGTTTTTGTAATTTGTCTTACAATGTAAAAATACCATTTTATAATTAAAAATGACCTAGTTAATTTTAAAAATTATTATATCCAATAGAAAACTGAATGAAGTATTTTTATAAAAATTGAACTGTATAGGAGTAGAAAGACAGAAATCGAATCGATGTCGACATTGAAAATAATTTTATAGCTTAGAGAGGGTGATTTAGAAATAGAGAAAGTGTGTGTGTGTGTGTGTGTGTGTGTGTGTGTGTGTGTGTGTGTGTGTGTGTGTGAGAGAGAGAGAGATTGAGAGGAGGAGAGAGGGGGAGGGGGGGAGAGAGAGAGAGAGAGACGTGAAAGGTATCACGTGTTACTTCAACGAGCCTCGATAATTAGACAAATGAAAACGTTCGTTAAAAACGGAAACGTGAAATTGAAATCCGATAGTAGTACGCGAGCGGATGGCACGTGCTCGGCTTCACAAACTCATAACGACATCTGCTTACACAATGGTAATTAAAAAACGTGCGAGGAAAATATAACGAATGCGTACCATCGGGCAGTGAGAGCATGGGATGGAAGCCGGCATCAACAGCGGCGACGCGCTCCTGCACGGACAGCAACTCCAGCAGGTCCTGGCTCATTGTAGGCTCGCGCCTCCCGGTGCAAAGGGCGCAGGGCGCGAGTCTCCCATCGCAACTGCATTTGAGACTCGCGGGACGCGCGGCTTTCTTCGACACCTCGTGTAGGCCCTCGAGCTGCACGAGCTTTCGCTTCCTGTAAGCCGAGCGGACGAATGGCCGCGTGCGACTCGCGGGTATATCGGAGTTGATACCGCCGCCAGCACCGGGACCCCCGCACTCACGCCCGGGCGTCGAACCCGGCAGAATGCCGCTGTAGCCGTTGACGGTCTCAGCCGCGGCAGCAGCAACCGCTGTCTGCGCCGAGCCCGAGGTCAGAGCTGGCGCTTCGAGTGTCACCAGACCCTTAGCCGCCCGGATCTGCCGCTGAAGCTCGTTATGCTGGCGAATCTTGTACTCGAGGTCCGAGATCTGAGCCTGCAGCCACGTCCAACGCGAGGCGACGCTCGCGCGATCCTGCGCGTAACGCCAAGCCGCCCGTTTTGCGCTGAGAACAGAAGGAAGGATGCGCTCCTTGAATTAGTCTGCCTGCGATGTCGCGATTTTGTTTGATACTATAGGGGACGAGGCCCCGTGCAGCTCCGATTTTTCCAATGTCACGTCAGCGATTATTGGCTTTTAGTTTTGTCGCTTAAGTAGAACTAATCCGATGTATACATGATTTAGGACTCGGAAGACGGTATTATGAGCAATGGAAAACATTGTAATCATTACTAGATCAAAAATAATAAATAGCCTGCCCCCAGCTAAATAACTGTATATAATTTTCTTTTCTTTATCAAACTCTACCGATGATGTAGTTATTAATTGATAATTATACAAATTGTAAACAAACTAACGAGTCTTAACACATTTCCTTTTCTTTTATTCTCTTTTAATTATCGGTTCTATTATAAATATATCATCAATTATTACACTATTGAGCTAGCTGAATGTAAATTCTATGGAATAATGCATCAATTAATATTCTTAATAATTAAAATTAATTAATCTACTACCCATATAGAAGGGAAATGACGAATACTCTGAATTATTTTGAATAAAACAATAATATGAATGCTCGAAATCTTTGTTTACTTTTATTATTTTTAATTGGTTACCTTGAACAATAGCGATTCCAACAACAGAAAACCATCACTTGCAGATCTTTAAAGCAATTAATAGTAATTTTCTAAAATCTTCTTTAATATAAGATTGTACTTTAATACGATATGATTTTACAATATAAAATATTTCTTTTAAATGTATTATTATAGTATTAAAATATTATCCGTTAATTTAAATTTTTAATTTAAAAATTAAAAAAATTTTTGTTAAAAATCGTTATATTTCCGTAAACATTATTGATTGGATTCGATTAAAATTGCTCGATAATTTCTAAGAATCCTACGTTTTAAATATACACGTAATTCTACATATAATATACACTAAATGTGTTTATTATTTGTAGTTCAAATGCGCGCGCAGACGTTGAAATAAATCCTTAGTGTCCTTTGATTTTGATAAACTAAACATAAATTATCATTCGTTTTACTATGTGAAAATGTTCAAATTAAAAAAAAGAATAACTCGATTCCTCGGGTAAAATAATTAAAAGGTTAAAAAAATTAATCTTAAATTGATTAACGTAAATGTTTCTTCATCTACTTCTTCAATTATGTAGATATAAAATAATTAAATTTTTTAACCTTTAAAAAGCAAGTTTTTATTTATTAAACGTTCATCTAATATAAATAATGATACAAAGTTCATTCGTGATTAATTCAATAATGATACGTGAAAAGTGATACGTAAAGTTTACTACTCTTATCCCTATAGAATTATGCAGTTTAGTCAATTAAATAGGTTTTATGCAATGATTTTCAACAATGATTCAACCAACATAGAATTATTGAATTATATTACTATTTAGATTGTTCATTTTAAATTATTTTATCACTACATACTAATTTCTATATAATGTTAATTAAAAAAAAACATTTTAACTATTCTAACTTAATTACATTTCTTTACTTCATTATGGCAGTATTAAACAAAAATTAAAATCTGTATAAAATTATATTGTTACCATATTTTGTTACTATCTATTTTATAAGAGAGATAACAACCCTAAAATTAAACGCTTATTAAATACATAACTGATACAAAATCTGCTCAAATATAAATAAGTAATGCCGTCGTAATTCAAGAAAATAAAATTTGTAAGTAATTTCAATATAATCATTATTGAAAATTCTTCCATTTATTTGTTTTTTTTTGTTTTTTTTTGTTTTTGTCTTTTTTTCTTGTTTTCTTGTTTTTTTTTGTTTTTTTTCTTGTTTTTTTTTTTTTTTTATAATAATTATAATAACTGGATATTATTTTACTGTGTGAGAAAATCACGAATTTACATGAAGTTTAAAATGGATGTTTTGATGAAAAATTCAAACTTTATAACGTTTATTCAATAAAGTGTAATCGAATTACATTTACATTTCTGTGTTTAAACACTAGTATTTGTATCTCAATGATTAAGGCAACTTTTATTTATTCTGTACATAATATGACAAAATAGCAAAAAAAAAAAAAAAACTAAATTAGACAAGAATACGTTAATTTTTAAAATTAGATTTACGTGTATCAATATTATAGTTAATGTCATCCTTTACGTTAAACATCTTTATTTTTATAGCTAAAAGTTATCAAACTCAGTAGACTTTTCTTTTAGCATCACCTTTTTGAATACATTGTTTTATCAATAATTTACTATATTGAACATCCGATTTAAAAATGTTTCAGCATATGAAAAACTTTTATTAAGCTAACTTTTAATTTCTGTTCGGTACAATTTTATTATAGTTTTACAAAATTATTTTCACTTGCACAAATGGTCGCTAATTTTTTATTTCTTATCATTATTACTTTTCATATTCTTTATTATATTTAAATATAAATATTGTTGACACCTTTTATCATTAATTATTGTATTAATGAACGTTACTAATTTGCCCGGTTTTTTATAAAATACATACATTAATATGTATATAAAGAAGCTACATGTATCTAAAAACATTATTCTCCTAACCTTATATCAGATATTTTAAAATGAACAATAAATCATAATATTTTTAAAAACTCCAAGTGTTTTGTCGCATTAATTCGAATATTTTAAATCCTGGATAAGCAAAAAGTGATTACTTTAATGGCAACGCATTGACGTGAATGAACAGAAAACCATTCGTAAAATACGAATTTAAACAATTGACATTAAGTATGATTAAAAGACAATCAATAATTTAGAAATTATAAGTCATTCATAGTTTAAAATTGATTTAAAAAATTCATTGGAGTAACTAACACATTAATCCATTCAGTTGCAAATGAAGAAAAGATTTGAATTCAACTACCTATACCTGATATTTATTTTTAAACACGTGTACAAGTCGAAACCCCGAGAATTTAAATAAGTCAATGTGTGCTAAACTTATCATTCGAAAAGTTCTAAACTCACTTAAAAACAATTTCATTACATTAATTTTTTTAATCATTAAAAACAAGTAAATGAAATTAAATGTTAATGTTTTCGTTTCTTTATGCATAAGTACTTCTATTAAATATTTTGAATTGTAATATATTGTTAAAATTTATTAAAAACATAAACATTATTTTCTTATTGAAATTATTTCGATTCATCTATACGTTTAGTTATACAGAACAATATTTTTGTATTAAAACAATGATAATGAAAAAATTAATAATAATTAAATATTGAATCTAATCAAAGTTATTACAATTTATATATATATATATATATATATATATATATATATATTTTTTTATTTGTTTTATTTTTAATCTATCCGACTTGCATAACATTTAATTTTATAAAATTTAAGATGATTTCAATTTCAAGAAATTTTAATTTTTATATTTACTAACTTTATACATCCACAAAATATGCTTTTTAATGAAAAAATGCAGATCATTTTTTATTTTACTTATAAGAAAAATTATATTAAAACTGATCTATAATAAATATATAAATATGATACAATATTTGGCAATAATAAAATAGCCATAAATAAATATACATTAAATACGATATTTAAAAGTTAAAAAGAAAATTGAGGAAGAATTAAATAATTAAGAAAGTGAAAAAATCAAAAGTGTGCAAAAAGAATTCTATATACATCTTTTGAAAGTGAGAATTTTTAAATAAACGTAAAAACAAGAATGTGTAAGTCTAGTGTATACTTTTTGATTATTTTACCAATTAGATATTGAACAATAATCTGTAGTAAGAAAAAAATAAATACAAAAAAAAAAAATAAAATACGAAACTTTATTTTCTCGAAATTCAAATGAATTTGCAATCCTAAGTAGCCAATTTACCATATACAAAATATTACAGGAATGTTTAATTCTTAAAAATAAGTGAAAATAAATTATTCACTTCCTTTAGAGAAAAATCAATGTAATAATAGATTAGCACAAAGTAAAAGGAAAAATTTGATATAATTTAATTATTTTGAAAAAATTTTAATGAAGCGTTATTATTATTATTATTATTATTATTATTATTAATATAGTCGGTAAAACAACCAATGAGTAAAAGTAGAACTTACACTTTTCTCTCTTTGTTAAAAGCATGCAATTATCTACGTTAAAGTGCAGAGGTCGAGCCTTACTAATAAATATTTCGATCCTCTTTTTAAAAAGAATTTAATGTTATAAACAATAAAAATGAATCACCTGATTATTTTTTTATAAAAATTACAATGTATCGTTTGACTGTACTTTTTCATTTACATTAATATATTTTTAACTTTTTATGGAAATTTGGAATTTTGTAATAAAAAATACTTTAAACAGTCCTTAATAATGATACTATTATTAAACTTTGATAGCGTGTTTTTCTAACTTTAGTTTATAAATTATATAAATTTGAAAGAGTTGAATTATGCATTATATAATTTATTTTATGTTTTACCATAATACCCAAAATGATTACTAATTTTTCCATTAATAATAACAGCTTTTCTTTAAAATATTTGACTTATTTTGACATCAAGTTCTGTAATCGTCCGTATAAATTAAGTTAACACATTTGAAATGTTGAAATAACTACTGTTCTAGGACTATGCTGTCTCCTCTATCCAATTTTATCGGGACTTTAATATACAAAATACTAAATATAAATAGATTGTACTCTATTGAAATACATTCAACAACATATTTAATAAGCTGCGTACTCATAATTATTTTGAATTATTCTATATCACTGATAAAAACTACTATACATACAATTATGTAATTATAATATTATTAAAATTATCAATTTTTATTTCGATACTATTAAAGTGTCGTTTCCAACTAATAATGTTCATTAATATTATTTTCGACGTCTCTCTCTCTCTCTCTCTCTCTCTCTCTCTCTCTCTCTCTGTGTGTGTGTGCGCGCGCGCGTGTGTGTGACCCAATAATAATTCAACAAGGCACAAAAATAGATCTAAATTTTGTTCGATATTGAATAATCGTTTATTATCTCAGATAAAGCTAAAATTCGTTGCATCAATTCTTTGAGAATTAATTATATGGCCTATTTTAATTCAATGATATACTTATAATATGGAAAGAATCTGTATTAGTGACAAAAAATAAAGTGAACCATTAAAGATTTGGTGGATAATTAACACTGTGTGCTATGTGGATGAGTAGAAACGACAGATGAATTCTCAACAATGAAGAAAAATTATTTGCCCGTTAACTTCTTGCATTATTTTTTCTACACCGCACCTCACTAACAACTATATATTCTCACAATAAACCGAGGACTAAGTTCCAGGAACTTGCTCTATGCTCCATAAACGAGTTAAGAATAACGAAGAACATAATTCTCGGCGGACACTCACATTGGTAACTGTTGTTGATGTGGATTATTGAAAGTCTGCATTTCGTCGCAGCTCTCGCCACCACTGCTCGAAGCCGTGCAATCCGAATCATAGGCGCTCTGCAGGAGCTTGAGTTTAACTGCGAGGGGTCCCGCTACTTTCTCCAGCTCCTCGCCGTTGAGCTTGATCTGCGGTACACCGAACACCGGCACACGGTTCGCCGACGTATTCACATAATTGTCCTTGGAACCGGCCCCAAAGTACCGGCACGAATTCCTCTGGCGAAGGATTATACTATTACTCTGCGCGTTGCGGCTCTTCTGCACCTTCTGCAGGAAGGAACTGAGGCTGCCGGCGAGCTCAGGGAAGTTGCGCGTATTGCCGGCCTTGGGCCCGAGGCTCGCTAAGTCCTGGTAAAAGCACTTCTTCGCACTCTTCTGCGCAAGTTCGAGAACGTGGCCCGCTTGCTCAGCCACGTGCATTCCTACGAGACTCGACTGGAGCTTACGAAGCCTGCGCACAAGAAAGGAAGCACGCCGCTCCAATTCGTGCTGTCGCCTCTCAACCTGCGCCTGATGCTGCGACAGGTCGCTCAGTTTTGTCGTACGTCGCTGTTGCTGCTGTTGCTGCTGCTGCTGTTGCTGTTGCTGCCGTTGCTGCTGATGCTGCTGCTGCTGACGGTGAGAAGAGGCCTGTTGATCGACGACTACGCCACTATCGGACATATTGTCGTTGCACAGCCCTATCACGTCTACGTCGTTAAGGAGATTCAAGGGGAAAGCTTCACCGTCCGGAAAGATTTCCGAGACACCCCCGGAAACTGACTGAGACACAGATTCGACCAAGCCGCCAGTGAGTCGGCTGTCGCTGCCGATACTCTCCGCCGACTCTGCTGCATGTTCCATAGACTTTATTACCTGTGATAAAAATAATGATCGTTAATCAATACAATATTATTAATTAATATATTATATAATCGTAGTAATAGAATTACGTGGGCGTTAATATCGATCGATTGCATAAATTCAAACTCTCTCGGTTGGCTGACAATTATTACTTTGACTTTCCAGTCAATTACATCTTTTTACTTTTTTCTTTTCTTCCGTTTTCTTTAATACACCTTACGCATTCATGATAAATCGAAAATATATTACTTTGTTAAGCTACACTTTAAATAAATTGAGAATGATAAAATACGTTAAAATTTTTGGGAAATCAATTTTGATAAATAATTTTTTGAGTTTGTTTGATAAAAATGTTTAAATTTATACATTTAATTTAAAGTATTACATTCATTAATTCAATATGGTATGCGATTGCTTGAATTAAAATTTAATATAGTAGAACTAAAGTGATGTACAATTATTGCGCAATTACCATAAAAATTTTTTTATATTTTAATACACTGACGCATAATATATTAATTATTTCGATTCAATATTATTAATTTTTATTGCACATAAAATCGTGTTATATAAATATATTTCTTTCTTATCTCGTAATTGTAATTTTTCAACTGATTCTAATAATTTTAACATCATTTTTCTATTAAGAATTTATTGCTTGTTTTATTATATAAGATACTGATATATATTTTTTTTATATTTTAATTTCTTTTAAATATAGAAGAAAATATTAATTAGTGAAAACAATATTTTTTTATATTCAGCCGATAAATATTGTTTACACTAAAGTAATTTAAATTCATGATCTTGCATAAAGCGGTTGAATGGCGCTTGTTCGTAAACTTCATTAACGCCACTGCGCGCCTATTTTATCATCTCCACATGTAATTGGACAGGGATTGGTAATAAGAAACGGCTATCCCAAATCGATAAATTTTACCTGTAAAATCTCTTCGACATTTTGACCAATATCGCCCGTCTGCACGTTCATGTCCGTAGCAAAACCCATAATTTGCTCAAGACTCCTGTCATCCTCGATTTGTTTGTCCTCGCACGCGATTGTGTTGTGGTCGTCATTGCCTTGCGCCTTAGCAACATCCCCAGCGATATCGGCGATCTCGCATGATTCCTCGGTTTCCCCAGGACCCATTATTGTTTTAAAGAAACACATACTATCCACTGGATCGCCCATAGATGGGTCGTTCATTATAGCGGCGCTGCTCGCCTGGACCTCGCGTGCCGCCTCCTTCCTGGGCACAACGGCAATCAGGTCGGACAGACCGTCGAAACCGCTGCCAAACTTGAGATTGATGACATCATTGATCAAATCCTTCGGGATACCTTGCAAACACTGCTCGTCAATTTTCGATGGCTGAACGTTGGCTGAGACGACAAACTGGGCCAGGACCTCGCAGTTTTGGCAAACCTGCTCAATCACATGTAAGACAAGACGTTATTCGAGATAATTCGTAACAGCATTTAAAAAAAAAACTTAATCAATAAACTACTCTAACTTGTAAAATATCTTTCATAATATTATTGCGATCTTATATATTTTGCCAATCGAAAATATTACTATCGCCAAACGTATTCCTAACGCTTGTCCTACAGTAGTCAAATGACACCAAACTTACTATTTTAATGCAAGTACTTTAAATTTCACTATTCGAAGGGCGCGCTATTAATTATCAAATCAGTTGCAACTATACAAAGAGCGTTGGTTTGGAAAAACAATACATTTTTGACACGTAACGTTAGGAATCCATAATGGCACAATGGATTCCCTACAATCGTATTATGTCTATTAAATGACAAGACACCACAATGGCTCATACCGTATAATAAAATGCACTATTCGTTATTATGAAATTAAGAAGAAAATGAAGGCAAATGAATGATTGAATGATAGGGAAAAACAGAGGATCGCTGTATCCGCGACACAGACGTGTCACGGTTAAGGCATACAGAGATATACGTGAGGAGAAGAGAGGACCCGGAGGCATCGTTCGAGCGTAAGCCAGAGCTTATTTAAATAGTGAAAAATGGCGAGAGGAGCCAGACAAGCTCAAATAAAAGTGGCACGTCCGTGAACGATGCCTGCCTTCTCCACGGGACCCCTCGTTAAATTAACAAACACGCGCACACGCACACAAACACCATACAGGTTATTAACGATTATTTTCTGTGAACAAGATCTTACTGTGGGCTCATGGTTCGCGAGCGGCGCTCTAGTGGATCGCGCGATGGCGCTGTGACAAACCTGCTTGGCCTGCTCGGCGGAGAGGAAGCCGCCCGCCGGCAGTGCTGGGAGCAAATTCTCAGGTTTCTGAGGTCCGCCTTCCGTCAGAGCAGGGGCCATCACTGCTACTGACGTCGCCAGCGCTGACGCTTCGACATCCAGCCAGGAGGACCGCCCGGCCACACCGTCCCCGTCGCTGCCCCCGCTGTTGTTTAGACGCTGTCGCCCCCGCCGTCCCCGTTGACCCGTCCACCTCGAGCTCACTCCCATTCATCCATTATCCCCGTGGCACGGCTCCACCATAGCTAGTTGGCCTTTCGCCCGGGGACGACGCTGTCAGCACCGAAACGCTCCAATCGTCGACCTAGGCGGCGTGCCTTTCTCACCGACTATCCCGCTGCTAATTTGTTTTTGCTCTTTTTGCTCTTTTTGCTCTCTCTCTCTCTCTCTCTCTCTCTCTCTGTCTCTCCTGTTTATCTCGTAGGCTTGCTTATCTCGTGCTGATAATGCGTGGGATACTGGAGCTAGTTAGAGCCCCCCCTCGCTCACCCCCTCTTTCTCTCCCGTATCTTGCGCTTATCCGCTGCAGTCGAGCGTTCTCTTTAAAAAATTTATCTGAAAGCAAGAAAAAAAATATCCTGTATCAGTAGGTGTTTGAATATTACGTGAAGCCAGATGTACGCTTGATTTGAGATATGTAATTCATTTTTATATCGACATTTTAATGACTATAGTGGCAATGGTTTTCCTACGACTTGAAAATATACATTTTTTATTCATCCGTTGAGTAAACTAATTAGTTCTCTTCGCACGCACGCCCGCGCGTACGCGCACGCATACAAAATTTACACGTACGTTTACAACAATTACTACTTTAATCTGCGAATAATATTATTGATAAAACAAAAGGTAACATATTTGAGTAACATTAGACCACTGGTTAATATTAATAGTAAAATGTTTATAACACGGCCGACAACATTTGAAATCTAAATTGGGGAAAATTAATTAAAATTACTCTATTACGCGTATATATTGACTATTGATTAGTGACGTTTGAATCGACATAATCAAGCTTTATGCAGTAAATCAAATTTCATTCGCGTAAAATAGTATGTACAACAATTTCAACTAATAATAACAATAATTAATAATAATAATAAGATTATTGCTTCAGCTATTAGCCTGTAATTATGTTAAAACCTACAATCGCTACTTCACAATAACTGCGCGTGTAATAATTTTTCCACCGTTATATCATTCATTTTTACTCGCCATGTCAAACAAAAATCCACAAAACCTCATAACCAATTTGAAAGAAAAAAAGAAAAATAAATAAAACAGAAAGCGGCGCAAAACAATTTATGATAATGAATCTGAAATCGCAAAAGATATAAATGTCGAAAAGGATAAAAACAACTCACCTTTGCGCTCTTGTTAATCGGTGTCTGCGATTCTATAGGATCTCGAGGCCGTGCGAGTAGGGAGCTTCATTGAATTTCGCTCGCTAGTAGTTGGCATTTCTTTCTCATTCTCCATCTCTTTTTCTCTCGTTTTTTCGATGCCGTCTCGCAGCTCACTCTCGACCTTTGGAGCACAACGGGATAGGGGGGGGGGGAGGGGGGGGGGGGGGGGGGGGGGGGGGGGGGGGGGGGGGGGGGGTCAGGAAGGGCCAGCGTCTCTTAACGGGCGTAACGTAAAAACGCTCCAACTGGAGTCAACGTCGAATCTCCTGGACGTATTGTAACGACTGCCACTCATGCAAACAAGCTTATATGCGTATACAGTGCACACTCGCACGCACGCACGAAAGATGTTCCTTGGCGCATAAGCGCGCGCGCTCAAAAGTAAAAAACAAGTAAAGGTCTAAATAACGTAAAGTTGAAGAAAAATGAGGAAATGTAGAGTCGTCGGTTTATGTACGAGAGAAGTACAGAAGGGATGACGATGAGGAGTAAGGGAAAGATAGGTGAAGGAAGAAAGGGAAAGAAAGAGAGAGAGAGAGAGAGAGAGAGAGAGAGAGAGTAAAAAACGATCATCGGATCACGAAGCATAAAGAAAAAAGTGCCGACACGCGCGCACGTGATTGCGTATTGACTGCCGATCGAGTGCCAAGCTACGAGAACATCGACGGAAGCCAGAATCGCCGGACCGCGCATTTCGGAGCAGACGCCGTTGTCACCGCCGCCGCAGCCGCCACCACCACCATCATTATCATTATCATCATCATCATCATCATCATCATCATCATCATCATCATCACCACCACCACCACCACCACCACTACCTTGCTCGCCGGCACTCCAAGACGAAAGTTCATTTTGTTTCTAGCGGAAACGCGATTCCTCGCACGCGGTCGATGCACCTTCGTCTCTGCCTACGTTTGCTTTACGTTTTCACTCACTGAAATACTCGAACAACGATTATTTCCCAAGCGCTGGATCTTGTTTAACCTCTTTCCTAACATCCACAGCAATGTTTATCAATCGTCGGAATGTATTTATCCAATTAATAATATCTTTTTTTTTTTTTTTTTTTTTTTTTTTTTTTTTTTTTTTTTTTTTTTTTTTTTTTTTTAATACGACATTGCATTACTATCGTCTACTGCGCTAACGATATCACTACATATATGTCATACAAGAAATGAAGTGTAAAGTAAAACACAGGTTTAACCACGCATATTCGTATTATTCATTTTACACGTGAAAACAATGCCGTAACCCACCACCAATCGCTGTCCCAACACATTTGTATAAACTCAATGCGCGAGAGGCACTTTTTATGCCGGATGTAATAAAAAAGGGATGATTTGATCGATCAATCGACTAAAATACGGGCACTCAACACTACAAGATTACACAATGGTACTTTATATCGTCAATTAAAAACTTTACGAGTGATTATGTTTTTTTTTTAGTTTGCACATGCTCACAAACACGTAATGTCCGAGGTAGACCGTAACGATAGAATTGTGAGATCCAATCGATTACACGGACGCAGAACACTCGGCATTAAATCGAGTGCCACCGGTCTAAGCGAACCACGGTAGTTCGTAAAAATTACGCCATTAAATAGCAGTCTCTACACGTGCACAACGGCGATCGCGACGCGCATTGTGTTAAACGAGCGAGAAGCGCCGAGGTCCGAGAAAAAAAGCCGCTTCTTGCCTGCGCAAATCACAAAAACACTTACCGAATGACGCTAAGCCAAGTCAACTTAATCATATATTCCACGAGAGCGATAAAAAAAAAGTGAGCGAAGGCGAATCGACGAGAAGCCCAAGGCATTAGCGATTAGCGAGTAGCGAGGCAGTGCGCATCGTCGACCCACCCCGTGGCGTCGTCTCCCTTTTCCTTTTTCCTTTGACTCGTTTCCCTTTTGCAACCCCCCAGGCTCCCCAGGCCCCTTGCCAGTCCCTCCTTCGTCACTCCCTCCCGCGCAGCTCGCAATTTTCTACCGTGCAGTTGCCTGCGCGTCTTTTCGACACGACGACAAAGGCAAGATGAGAGGCGGCGGGCAATGCCGGATAAAGCCGCGCGAGCCCATTCGCTCGAGCGAGTGACACGCGTTAATGAAACCTCGGGCCACTCACGACTCGCGAGCATTCGCGTCAACGACCCCCCGTGTCACATGGGCCCGCGAGACCAAGAGACAGGAGACGGGGAGCAACATTCGGCTACACCGACTCGAGCCAAGAACGCGCGCCCACCGGTTATAATAGCAATAGTAGTAGTAGTAGTAGCAGTATCGGTAGCAATAGAAGTAGCAGTAGTAGTAGTAGTAGTAGCGGTGATGATGATGGTGTCGGTGGTCGTATATAATAGCAATAGCAGTAGTAGTAGTAGTAGTAGTAGTAGTAGTAGTAGTAGTAGTAGTAGTAGTAGTAGTAGTAGTAGTAGTAGTAGTAGTAGTAGTAGTAGTAGTAGTAGTAGTAGTAGTAGTAGTAGTAGTAGTAGTAGTAGTAGTAGTAGTAGTAGTAGTAGTAGTAGTAGTAGTAGTAGTAGTAGTAGTAGTAGTAGTAGTAGTAGTAGTAGTAGTAGTAGTAGTAGTAGTAGTAGTAGTAGTAGTAGTAGTAGTAGTAGTAGTAGTAGTAGTAGTAGTAGTAGTAGTAGTAGTAGTAGTAGTAGTAGTAGTAGTAGTAGTATTAGCAGCAGCAGTAGTAGTAGTAGTAGTAGTAGTATTAGCAGTATAGCAGAAGCGGATCTGTAGTAGGAGAGCTAAGGAACTCGAGACAGAGGGGAGCAAGCGGTTGAGCGACCGTCGCTCCGCCGTTGCATAATAATGCGTAAGTAGCACTCGCGAGCCGACGGCAACGTTTACCCCCGATCGTACATCCATCCCACCAGGTGGGCACACTAATCGATGCGCCTCGGCATTTCTCCGGTCTCCTCGGGACACCAAAAAACGCGTATTATTGAAGGATCGTCGCTGCGATATCCGCGAGAACGAGACGACCAACTAGACAGGTCCGCTCGCATCGAGGAGGAGCAGGAGCAGGAGCAGAAGCAGGAGCAGTAGCAGGAGCAGTAGCAGCAGCAGCAGCAGCAGCAGCAGCAGCAGCAGGAGCAACAACAACCGCCGCCGGCGCCGCCGCCGCCACCGCCGCTGCGCGTGTCTATAGTCAGAGAAAGAAAAACGAACGACAGCCTTTCTCGCAGCCGAAACCTCTCAACCGTCTCGCTCGCTCCCGTGGCGCACCGCGAGACAGCACAATGGCGCGCTACTAGTGTGCGTTTGCTCAGCCTACCTAACGTCCGCTCGTCCCTGGCTTTGCCTCTTTCTTTTGCCTCTACTTATTTATCCGCATCTACCTCCTTTGCCTCTACTTCAGACTCTAATTTTACAGTTCTCTATTGTCTTTGTCTCGTATTATTTCATCGCTACGCTTTGTCCGGCGTGTACACGCGCACTCGCGTGTCACCCGGTTTCTTCCGGCACGTCGATCTCACGGCCAAGTCGGCTCTCTCGAGCCGACGGACACGAGTACCTGCGTCCAACACCGAATTCAATCGAATCAAATCAAGCCGAGTCGAGGCGAATCGAATCGTGTGCGACGGTGGCGGTGGTGGCAGCGGTGGCGGTGGTGGCAGCGGTGGTGGTGGCGGCGGCGGCGACCGCCGCAGCGGCTTCCTTCTCGTGCGTGTGTGCGCCTTGTCCGTCCGTTGTGAAAACTAGTTAGCCAACCGTCGCTCTATCTCTCTCTATCTATCTATCTATCTCTCTCTCTCTCTCTCTCTCTCTCTTTATTTCTTTCTTTCTTTCTCCGAACACACACACGCACACATGCTCACTCACTCTCTTTCGCTCTTTATTTCACTGATTTTACTCCGAAAATCGGAAAGGACAGGTACGTGCGCGAGACATTCGACAGGCCGCTCGCACGCTCGCTCGTCCATCCGTCCGTGCCTTGTCGGCTCTTAACTAAGTGTTGAAATTGAGAGCTCTCAGGCGGAGGGGACAAGGAGGCCGGAAAGACGCACCTCACAGCACCCCGGGACCGGGGGCCACTCGAACGCCCGCTCCTCGGTCGATGTAGCCGACTCGGCTCCTCCTCGTCCTCGTCGGCGTGATCACTAAAGGCGTGCGCGCGCGCACCCGTGTCACACCCAAGCGCCGCGCGACGCAACTTGAGGCCCTCCTTGGCCGACGCCGTTGCACATCTATGGAACACGCGCGTACGTACTCGGGCCCCGGGTACGAGCCGTCCGTCACATACACGCGCTCGCGCGGCCCCCGACACACACGCAGCGATGACGACGACGACGACGACGACGGCGGCGGTGGCGGCGGCGGCGGCGGCGGCGGCGGCAGCGGCGGCGGTGGTGGTGGCGGTGGTGGCGGCAGCGGCAGCGGCTGCACGCGCGTACAGCGCGCGGGGCGCGGGAGACAGGGACGCGCAAAGTCGAGCGAGGGGATGCTGGGCACCGTGGCGTTGGTTGGGAAGGGGGTGGAGAGGTAGAGAAGGGACAGGTGAATACGTCGCTCAGCCAGGCGATGAGCCCGCGTTGACCCGCCGCCTACCGTTGACTCAACAGCGAACAACTCTCCAAGATCGACCGACGACGACGACGGCGACGTCGACACTGGTGACGCACGCCTCTCGTCCTCGCCGCCAGAGCGCCTCCGAAGCGTCGTTACGCGCTTGCCTCAGTGGGAGAGAGCGAGCGCGTCACTGACAAAGATGGCAGGATAGTCGCTTCGCGGCGAAGGGAGGGAAGAGCTATAGCTCTTTCTCTCTCTTTGCGCGCGCGCTCGAGCGTTCATGTGCATGTAGAGAGAGAAAGAGAGAGTGAGTGAGTGAGTGAGTGAGTGAGTGAGTGAGAGAGAGAGAGAGAGAGAGAGTGCGAGAGTGCTAGCGAGGCAAGAGGGGTTCCACGACGAGAGTCGATGAGCTTCGGGCGCCATTCTGCCCGCGTCTCATATCCCGACGGCGATGGGCGGAGGCCGGGGATTGCGGCCATTGGTTGGAAGGGAGTCATACAGCGGATGACAATTCTCTCGACGAAGGCACCCCAGCACCGGGCAGGCAGCACGTAACAATCGGCCCTAAGCGTGACGCCGCTGCTGCTGTCGCCGCCGCCACCGCAGCCGCCAGCACCATCGACAAGGACAGCCGGAGTCCGACGCAGATGCTTGACAGTTTGGTAGCCCGGGCGTCTGTGTTGGGCATCGACACGAGTGGAGCCTCGTGTATGTGTGGAGCGCACGTATCGCTGGCAGCGGCTTCCTTCAATTGAATCGCTCTTACAATGCGATGCCGCGTCCGCGTTTCCTCCTACTGGCCAGCCGCCGCTTGACAGCTTTTCACTAATACATGATGATGTAAGACCGGCAGACTCTTGCCAATCCACGCCGAATTCAGGGTAGATTAATGGAGGATCGCGAGGATCGATCCTCGGCACGTATCCGTATGCCAGATACGGTGGCACCTTTATTTCCTCTTCGACTCCCAATTCTCCCCTCCCCACCCCGTCGTCCCACCCTCTCTTCCTCTACACATCACCATACGCTAACTGTAAAGAGCACAATGGGACGCTTGTTATACAAGATGGATTGATAATAAGTAATGGTCGTTGCTCAACGCATTTGCCGCCGGGCAGCGTTCGATCGTGTAATATTTTGCGTTATTTTCCGGGGGGACGCGCGATCACGCGTCTCTGTCTCTCTCTCTCTCTCTCTTTCCTGCTTTCTTTCCTTCTTTCTTTCATTCTTTCTTTCATTCTTTCCATCTTTCCATCTTCCTTTCTCTCAACTCCTTTTGGACGAATTTCGCATTGGCTTTTATTTACAGTTTTAAATTCGCCTCTTTGTTCTATTTGCTTGATTCTACGGCAAAGTATTCATCTCTCTTCTGCAGTCGTTCTAGTTAGAAAATTCTGCGACGGCGCGCTTAAGTATTGAACAAAGTCAAAAGAGAGCGAGAGAGCGAGAGAGAGAGAGAGAGAGAGAGAGAGAGAGAGAGAGGAAAGCGTTGTTGAACGGCTGTACGTGACGGTCGGCGGGAGGAGCGGGCAAGCGGTAACGGGGCAGGGAGGGGGGACATCGTGGAGCAACGTGTGCGCGCGTGACGCCGCCAAATCCTCATTTTTTTTTTTTCGTGCTGGCGCGCTATTTCATTGTCCATCTCGCTCTCGCCACTTTAGATAAGAGCCCACGTACCGCTAGGCTGATCCGCAGGCCAATAATTACTCCTCCGTCCCTCGCGAAGCGACTTATGCGCTTTTTCTCTTGGCTTACGCGTTGTATGCATGGGCAAATAGAATTATGGCATACCAACGTATTTCAATACGTAAGTGTATGTATGGCTGAGGGGGGATACACCTCTCACGAGCAGTACAACGTCGTTGTACAGACGATCTGACGAGACAGAGCAGCGACAGAATCTCGTACTCGATCCCGTGTCCCTTTGTGCGTTCCCGGTCCTCGAACGGCTGCTCGGAGCGAAACGCGTGGCCAATACTGCGACGCGCCGACCGGAAATCGCGGGGACGCGAACAAAATGCGCCCGAGTCGCTGCTGGGCCTCCCGACGATTACCGGGGAACCTCGTGGCCAATCGGAGACCACGAAAATGCGCTCCCGGCCAGCCGTTGCGGACCGGATGTGCATGTCACGCTCGAGCCTGACGAGACGACAACGACGACGACAACGACAACGACAACGACGACGACGACGACGACGACGACGACGACAACGACGACGACGACGACGACGCCACTACCGCAGACGCCATTTTCTACCCGCCAAATTCAACGGACATAGTGGGTCGAGCAACGTGCCGCTGCTTGCCTATCCAACTCTGGCTAACGCTCGATTTTAAGGAGCAACGCTCTCGCCACGCGGTACAGCGACATTTCGATTTACTAAAAGCCACATACGTCGTCCGGACTCTTTATTAGCTCTTCGTTCTCCATTAAACGTGGATAGGTGTGTAGGTGTTGCAATCGTTCTCGTGATTACCCATTGTTCCATGCCGACGACGATTCTTTGCAATGCCAGCGGTCTGTCGAGCCGATTTAATAAACATTTACATAAATATAATTACGAAGAAGTGTCGGCTTTTATTGATAAATAGCTAAATATCGTGAACGTCGATGTAAGGAATTGATAACAGGTGCTCGGCTACGATTCTGCTTTTAATATTAACTTAAACTTTTATGATTTTTTTAGCCCAATCTCTACGATATGGATCTATCTTACAAATTGGAAAACTATATATATATATCATATTATTATCTTTATTAAATTATACAAGTGCTTAAGCGCACATTTTCTTCTTCACATAATTGTGAAAAAACGAATATCGTAAGATTCTACTTCAACAATCTTCGCGCGACGAACTACTATCATTGTTGAACAAAAAATATTATATATTTAAAAGAAACTCGCAACGTTCTTTTTTTAATTTCTATAATTATTTTATTTTACGTAAACAATAATTATTGTTATTCTTATTCTTATTATTATTATTATTTATTATTTAAATTAAATAAAGCAATAAACGCATGATTTTCATAAAATTTTTGCGTATTATATAATTTCATTGAAAAATTATATTCAAGCAGAAAAAGAATCTTAAGTTATACGGTAAAATGAAAAAGTACGTATTTCTTTCTATAATTTTATAATTTGACACTTATCAAAAAACAGGTAGAGCCTAATCTCAAAGACAAATCCAAAATTACATTACAGTTATACTGATAGATGAATATGTATGTATCTTACACGTTAAAAAGTATTGAAATTAATAATTACGTTGACACCTTTCACGCTTTACGTTCCAAATACGCAAATGTACATACGGAAATTTTCATATCATATATATATATATATATATATATATATATATATATATATATGCATATGTGACTGTACATATCATACAATTGGCGTGTAAAAGCTTGATTTTCGCAGATAGTAGGCACAACTAATGAGAGAATTCGTTTTACTTTCGGCACGAATTATTATTACTACCACAATTTGAATTTAACTCCTAAATACATGAATAGATATAAGATAACAAAAAAGATAAGAACCTTATAAATCAATTTTGGTCTTACGCTGTATGTAAATAAACTATAAAATATATCTTGTAATAATGTTGAATGCGTTAAGAATATAATAACTCCCATTCTCATCCATTGAAAATATGCCCTGAAAAGGAAATCATGTAAATAAACTACCTAAACACCTAAACGGTTTTAGTTTTTTTTTTTTTATAATAACCTTTAAAATAATAAATCATTCGCGTGCTAAATTGATTTCTAATGTTTATTATAATGGAAGAAATAATTGTTAACGCTGCAACATCGTTTTCTAATTATTTTGAAAATATTTTTAAAACACGTTTAAATATTATTTCGAAAGTGCCCGTATTGTATAAAGTGTACCTCTGCCAGTGTTCCCTCGTCTCATGTCAATTCTTTTCTTTAAAGGCCTATATAGCCATTTCTTAATTTTATGCCTGCCAAGTTTATAAGAGTGAATGAATAGTCATAGGCCTCCTATCTGTAACCCCTCAGATTTTACAAAATCAAATGGAATTGTTTCACACCATCTCTATATTTCATCTAAGACCAGCCGAGGAAATCAATTTCAGCGCAAAGTAAATTAGGTTTTTTTTTCTTTCTTTTTTTTTTATTTTTTTTTTTTTTTTTTTTATTTTACACAATCACAAATTTATTATATACATTTATTATAAGTTTGTCAGATAATTCAAACCAATGTTAATAATAATAAATTTGTATTCGAATATAATATTACTGTTAGTGTTAGATTTCATGTGATAATTGATAATTGTCTTGATATTTAAGATAAACACGAAGTTTTAAAAAATATTTAAAACTATATTGTTACATGTGTTTATTGATGTCGTTATACTCTATCTATTACATTTAAAATATTGATGAATTATATTGCAATTTGTTATATAAGTAGATTTTATATTTTCAAACGAATTTAATGCATTTTTTTCCCTTTCGAGGCGCCATAATAGGCATAATAAAACACGCATTTTGTTTGAAGACAACAAATCTATCAAAATACGAATGTTCTTATCAATTATTTCATATAAAAAAATTTACATTTTCCTTTATATTAATCATCAATGTTGGATCACGAAGTATTGAAATTTAAATAATTTTCAATGTTGATAAAGCATAGCATAAACTTTTGAGACCTCGATCAATAACGTCCTAGCGATTTACCATATTCATACAAAAACTTCTCTCTCGTACTTCACTT